AGCTGAAGTTAGAACCTCAGTGTTGATCTTTCACTTTGTGAAAATAGATTTTAACCTGTTCTGCCTTGTCAAACTGCCCAGTAGGGTCACCGTCACCCTTCAGGAGTTGAGTTTGGAGCAGACATGTACGAGTGTGTAACATCAGCAAATATCATGGGCCACTGCAGCAGACGTGTCAGAGAGTTCTGGAACAGCACTGGCATAAACACACTCGCACACAGTTCTGCTATTTCAACAGTTTTTACAAGAGGCCAGTGAGAGTCAAGCACCTTGAGTACTGCCAGTGAGAGAGCTCATCTGTTTCCTTTACAGCTGCCAGCTATAGCCTATATCTCATGCTAAAACTATTAAAATTCTTCAAGTGGTCAAACCAAAAAGTGTGTAGCTTGAGATGTATAGCTGTTGGATTTTGAATATCATTTTATAGGTGCAGTATGTAATATTTACAGCTAGTGGTTAAAATGGGTACTGCAGTCCATATTCAAAATATTGGAGAGCGTTGTTTCTCCAGCCCCCTCCTCCTGAGACTCGATGCTCATGCAGGTTGCCAGATTGGTGACACGGAACAAGAACAAGCGCAGCTGGCAATGGAAGGTGACAAGCCTTACACTGTTAGTTGATTTATTAGCATTTTAATATTCCTCTGGTCATAGAGCTTTTTAGATGGACGCTGAAGCTTTTTAGGTCGGGTAGAATCTGCGACCTCTGACCCAGTTCGTTTGCTGACTTCCATGGCTGCAATACGCTGTGTTTTCCACCAACTGGCAAGCCGGGTGTCGAAATTCTATTGGCTAAATTGGCAGTGGGTGGAATCACGCAGACCAAAACAAAAACAGGACATTCCGGCACGGAATGAACATTTCAAAGTAGAATATATGGCTGTAGCATTGTTTTTCAGAGAAACGGGTATGTGAACTTAGCATGTTTTCTAAATATCTGCAAAAATATTGTGGTATTTTTGTGCTTTAGTACAGTTAAACATTACGTACAGCACCGTAAAATATACTACAAAGCTAAATAAAATCTAGCTTTGTGGTGATGCTCAATTGCTCACTTGCAACGACAAGTTTTGTAATTGTAAAGGTTTTGTTTCTACTTTTTATTAAATGCCAGATGGCGTAAGATGGGCTCATGTTAAATTTACTCCTGTCTGTATTACCATTCCTTGTTCCTCTGCCCTTGCTAATGCAGGGCATTAATGGCAGCATGCCCAGCTTTCTTTAACATAGATGTCTGGGAATGTTCCTACCACTTACGAGAAGTGCCGTCCTCATATCTACCTAGTTTGATAAGTATAACCACAAGATTGTCCTTTCAGAATAGAGTATGAGAGGAGGAAGTGATGGAAACTTTGCTTCCTCAGTATCTGCCTATTAGAGCAAGTGGTGAAGGTTTTTACTTTGAACATTCATTTGAAACCATCCATGTCAACGTGTTATGACTCATTATAAGCCATAGGAGGTAACATGTTTTAGCCAATATTTAACACCAAAATGTGCAGAATATGTGCTTTGACTGCCTAGTTTGTGACTGCAAGTAGCACCATAATTAGTATCATTTGCTTTATACTATTGCTAGATAAATTTTACAACTGTACCTAAGACATGGTGGTATTTCTGGTATTTGTAGCATGATTATTCAGTCTGATGTTTATTTCTGTTCTATGGTGCCATGCAGATGTTTGAGCTTTTGATTTAGTATATATGCAGTTGTTTCAGAAACATTGCACTTGTCCACTGTTAACTTCAATGCAGTATCTAACTCATACTACCAAAAAATAAAAAATAAAACTTTAGTCGGTATTTTTAAAACAAGATACATTTCAGATGTCAGATGATTTCAGAGAGTTTGAGTGGCTAAAGACTCTCCAAGGACCACAGCTGGAGAATTGCAGAAAATAGTTGAGTCTCAGGGTCAGAAAACCTTAAAAAAAAAAAATATCAAAACAGCACCTACACATGTTGTTTGGGAGGGTTTCAAGAAAAAAAAATCAAAATAATCATCCAAAAACAATCCCCAGCATATTCTGTTGTCAGACACGACTGGAACTTCAAATGGGACTGGCTTCTATGGTCAGATGTAACTAAAAAAATAGCTTTTTATCAACAAACACTCAAGATGGGTTTGGTGCACACAGGGATAAAAAAAGTACCCCATGTGTACAATGAAATATACTGCTGTATATTTTTGATGTTGTGGGCCTATATTTCTGATGGAGGTCCTGGACATCTTGTTTAGATACATGGCATCTTTGATTCTATCAAATACCAACAGATAAAAAATCAAAAAGTGACTGACTCT